CACAGACACTCAACACACCCCAAGATGTACATTTGCACATCTAAATTGGGGTCTCTTAGTCTGAGAGCCCACACCAGTCGCTATCCAGATTGTGAGGACCCTACATGCCCGGCACCTCTATAGACGAGGGGAACAGAATTCTGTAGCAAAAAGGTCATGTTTAACACTCAGTGTTTTCCCTTAGGCGTTGGAAATCAGTGACCGTTTTGTGCCTTTTGCAAATATCCCTTCTCCCTGCCATTAAGTTTTGGGTTGGTTTTTTTTTATTTGCATCTTTTATTGTAAAAAAAGACAAGAAAAGCAACGACTGGAGCTAGTGGCAGAGGCTTTCTGGCATTGCTTATCATTCAAAGCAGAAAATGCTTCCCCTGCTAATTTCAAACATGTCATTAGCAACATCTGAATCAGCAGCTTTGAGAAACTTTGCAGATACTTGATCTGGAAAGCCCTTACATATGCTTCCATCCTCATATACTGCTAATCCCACCCTTCAGCGTAGCCTGCCAACCCCTCAAAAGACCACTGGATCCATTTCAGCTTGACATCCTAAATGTTGCAGAGTCTGGCTATTGTCTCACAAAGGGGGAAAGGAAAAGGATGAGAGGAGAAAGCTGGATACAGGGCATGGTGCAACGATGCTCAGAACGGAGTTTGCCACCAGTCATCTAGAAAACACATGTCTTGGTCACCCACGTCCCTCCCTGTGACACTGGAAGGAAACAGAACTCATGAACACCAAAGCCCTGAAGGTCTCATCCAGATGCTGAAATGTAGGTTATGTTTATGCCCAGAGTTAAACGAGATGTTCTAAGGTGTATGAGATAACTGCCTGGGAACTGCAGATACAACATGGGACCTACTCAAACCCTTCTGTAAAAGTAGCTTGAAGCCATACAGGACACTTAGGTGTCTAAAATGACATGAGGCTCATGGAAGGACAACTGAATTGAGTCCTGAGGGTCACAAGACCTCTTACCTGAGACTCAGATGGGTGGGACTTGCTATATAAATGTGAACACCTCTATTTGCGCAAGTCACTCTGGACTCCTCTTATGACAACCCAGTCAGTGCAGCTGATGACTGAGGGCACCATCCTGCGATTAAAATAGATGAGTTGTGGCCTAAAGCAACCTTTTCTTACTGGTGCTGGGACCTCAGATGGCCAGCTCTGATGGAGCTACCCACACCGTAGACGTCTAAATTAGAGGACCACATCCACTATGACAAACTGCCGGTGCTCATCCATACTAGAATTTGAGGGAGCAGAAATACTCTTCATATAGACTGTCCTACAGCTGGCTGCAACGCAAGAGCGAAAGCACAGCCGTGGTTTCACAATGGATGGGGCCTCGAAACCCCTCGCCTGGTGCTCTGATGTAGCTCTGAGCTGTCCTGCAGAGGAAAGCAGTTTTCCTCTGGATTCAGATCAATGCAAATTATCCCCCCCTTTGGTGGAAGTGGACAAATTAGGAGTCAGGTTAAGGCCGAAGCACAGTATGAAAATGTAACAGCCAACCGCTCTGAGGGTCACACACCTGGAAGACGTCCAAACAGCAGGGAGTGGGGAATGCAGGGACCCTTGCGGGAGGGGGGCACATCCAGCCTGTGGATGCCCATGGTGGCTGGGTTTTGTTTATTTTTTTTTTTCCATGCACTCTCTGATGTCACGCAGAAGCCATCTCCAGCTCTGTTTTGGTTTCCTGTTCTCCCGAAGCCACCGGGCTGCTGTGAAGTTTCTACCCTGAGGTCAGGCTGGTGGAAAGCTGAGATGCAAAGGGGAGCAGAGAGGAAGTCTCCCACAAAACCAAGAGGGAGGGGGAAAGGGAGATCTTGTTACGGGTTCAGCACACAATACATCTGAAATAGTACTTACGTTTTTCGCGGCTCGATCTATTGTCAGTCTCTGAGTTATGGCTGGAGGGAGGTTGAGAAGGCAGGATCAGGTGGGCTATCTCACTGCAGACAGATCGTGTCACCTGGCTGTACACGATAGACGGCTGTGGTTTGGTGGAGCTTTGCAATGTGTGACCAGCGAGGATGAGGGAAAGGAAGTGCCCTGAGGCTGTGCAGTGCCTGAGAGCACCACAGAGCATGACCTCGAGAGGATGCATGGCGCATGACTTGATGGGAAGTCATTTCACCAACCCGAAAACCAGCTCAGCCACATTGGGGAGGGCTCATCCTGCCCAGGACCCTCCAGGAGCAACCACGACTGACTCAGCCAAGTGAAAGGAAGGCCTCCAGAGCATCCTTCTGCAGGTCCTTTCAGCAGGGGAAGGGGATAAGTTGGGTACTCCTTAGGGAGATTGCAGATGCAAGACGCACAGGAAAGTCGTAAGAGATGGGAAGAAAGAGGGGATCAGATCCATCCCACACCTTCCCCATCATTATCTCATCCCAACAGGGCATGGAATTATGTGCGTAGAGGGCAACATGCAAGGACATCAGTTGTGAAACTGATTTTCCCTACTTTTGGTACTGTATTGTGAGTTTTATAATATTTTGCTGATAATCCCAACCCCTGGAATCACAGATATTGAGGTTTTGTCTTTCTGGTTTTCCTTGAGCTTTTTTTTCAGCTCTTCTTCTTTATTTTCAGTGCACTTATTTCAACAGTTGAGGCAGTGAAGGATTACTGCAGGAGTCAAATTAAATGACACTGATTAAAGTATCACACCTTTTAAACCAGGGTCTCATGGTATAGCAAGGTCAGATTTTGCAGGTGGGTTGCCTCCTCCAACAGGTCAGTGGATGACCAGTGGTGATCAGTGTGTCTTCAGGGTGGATTTATAAGAGACATTAGGTAGAGCTCCTGCTCTAGCAGGACGGTCTAGTACGTAGTGCACTGTATTGAGACTATGGACATCCAAGTTGTGTCCACGGCTTGGCCACGCATGACCTTTGTGGTCTTCTGTGAATTATTTAAACTCTCATCCATCTCAGCTCCAAGAAGAAGGTTCTCAGACCATGGAGGTGGTTGTTTCAGCTGGCAGATGACTCAATATTTTGTTACCTGGAGGACCTTTCCTGATTCAGCATTGTGGTTTCCACCAAGCTGGGACCTCCCTTGTGCTAGGATATGAGTGAGACCTGGAATTGCCTTTGGAGCTTTTTTTTTTTTTTCCCTCCTGGGTAAATTCAGGTCTCACCGTTCCTGAGGACAAACACTCCTGGAAACTTGCAAGCATGAGCTGCCCTCCCAAGGGCTGCCCTGTGCAGCTTTTTGGAGAACCTCAACCTTTTGTTCCTGAGGTTTCCCCCGAGGACCTAAGCACCCCATCTGAAAAATCACCTTCCCTGAAGGTTCCCCCATCGTGACACTGGGTAAGATTTGTGGCACCTATGTCTGCAAGCAGGCACAGCGGCGTGCATGCATGCATGCATGCATGTGTATGTCTTGGCAGTTCTGACTCAACATCCTTTCAAAAAGAGGCCCTGTGGTTAATCAGAGGAATTAACCACAGCCTCCGAAAATGTCCTGCCAGCCAATAAGCAGGCCCTTCCCAAGGCCATCGCTACTACAACGGTGTCGTTGTCCGGTAGGAACGTGGATCTTTCCGGTTGAATTTCTGAATGGGGCTCAGGGATGCTTTTGTTCAGCTTGGCATAGTACCGCCTCACAACTGCTGAATTACCGAAAATCCTAAATTTGGAGTAGGTTTTTTTTTTTTTTCTTAAATTTTCACCAGGGAGGCAAACGTTTTCCAGTTCAAAGAGGATTCCAGCTTGGCAGTGGGAAAAGTGCACCAGGCTTTGAAGGGAAGGAGAGCTTTTTTTCCCGCCTGGAACTCGTGAATCTGCTCACATTGGCTTTTCAGTGCCTGCTGCCTCCACAGATATATAGAGAGAGATATATAAATATGCACATACACACACGCTAGATTAATATTGGCAAGCGCGCCACTCTACCAATGGAAACCGCAAAGAAATATTCACATATCTGGGGATTCTGATGTAATAGGGCTGAGGTTTCACATTCCAGGACAGCATTTCTAGCCTCAAATCAAAATCAGAGCTGTCATTCAGAGCCCAGCGTTACTAATGTTATTGCAACCCAGCGGGTGGGGTGAGGGAAAGGCGGGAGGCAGGGGAGGAGGGAGCGAGGAGAAAGATGCTGAATTGGTTGGTTTCTTCAGGGTTTATTTCTAATTTCAGACGTGTAAAGGCAGTACAAGCTAGGACGGTGGCAGGCATTTTAACCCTTTTCAGGCAGATATTCAGCAATGCCTGAGTTAAGCTGCATGCCCCAGCACAGGACAAAGAAAAATATCTCAATATTTCATGGAAAGCTCAGGGTTTCTAAGCCCAACTCTAAAATATAGAGGGCCAAGAGAACTAAAACCTAATTACTATGAGCTCTTCTGTGACAGGACCTTTTCCAATGGGACTTTGGCAAGCTAAAGTTGTGTCTGGATTGGATAACCGTAGTCATAGGCTGACTTCAATTTTAAAAAAAGAAAAACTAAATGCAGGTGATTTCTTCTTATATCCCGCAACCAAAGTATATCTTCCCCATGTTTTCTGTGGTGGGTTGACACTCCACCAGCCTGGACATCAGTCATTCAGCAATGGTATAGCATAGCCTTATGGCTAAATCTTACAGTTCCAGCAAAAATCCCAGGTCAGCGGGCATTTTGTACAAGCAAAAGTTGCCAAGTGATCTCTGGATTTGGCTGAGAGTTTGTAAAGCGCTTTGGGTTCCTTTGGGATGAAAATGCTGCAAAACTCCCTGGCATGGGATTAACCCAACTCCATCACTAGCCCCTCGGGAAAAAACCTGTCTCCCCGCAGTCATTAGGAAAGATGAATACCTCTTTCCAAGCTGCTCTTATGTCAAAAAGTTGACAACAAGTGCGATTGCCAAAGGTTTCCCAGACCCAGAGCTGTACACCCCCAGCAGGTACGATAGCCTGAATCTCTGTGCTGCTACCACGGTTGTGTTACGATGCAGTAGGACGCGTTCTAATGTGACGCTATTTTTTCCATCATTTGTACTGCAGGAGGTCTTTGATCGCCTCTATTTGATTTATACTGTTGGATACTCCATCTCTCTGGGATCCCTCACAGTTGCTGTCCTTATCCTGGGATACTTCAGGTAGGCGGCTCTGTTTCTACCTAAGCAAGTTGTCACTAGGCTGGAAAAGCCTCGGGCTTTCCTAAAGGATAAAACTGGGGTGGCATGCGCTTCTTCAGCGAGCCACAAGACGTTACATCTGTGCTTTGGGCTGTGTTAGTGTCACTTAGGTCAAACTTCTTGGGGGATGGTGGGTGGGATGTTTGGACTTCTTCCGCTTGCCTGCAATGGAGTTTTCTAGACCCCCTTTGTAGCAAACAGGAAGAGAGACACCTCCAGGAAGAGGTTTGTCTCCCTTGGAAGACTAACTAGGGTTTTCTATTACCCCTTCATATGACTGGCTTAGATTTAGATGGGTAATTTTTAGATAGCTAAGGTCTCCATAAGGGAAATTCCACTCTAACCCCAAAGATTCACGAAGGATAGACCAGCTGAAGGGGACCCCAGCCATGTAAAAGCACTGGACTCACTCCTCCCATCTCCCCATGGTGCTGCTGTACTTAGGGATCCAAAAGTGAATGCACACCCTTCTAACTCTGATTGTTCACCCTCCCAACTCTGATTGTCCACCCTCCCTTTCCACCACTCCTGCCAAGAGTTGTTGGCCCCTAAATACCATTTTGAACCCAGGCCATCCATTCCTCAGACCAGGCTGTTGCATCTCCTGCTGACCAGGGGAGGGGAGGGATGAAAGGTGTCACTCAGAGCTAGAAGTCTGTCCTTTGGGAAACCATACCTGCTGAGGTGCAGATAGAGCAGGCTGCTGAGCCCCAGTCCCCTGAGCCCCAGATTCGCATCCCTTCAGTGGCTGGTGGTATCTTCTCCTAGCAGACAGCAGGACCCAGGCAACATCTGTGGAGGGAAATTCTCCATGAAGCAAATAGCCACGAGGTGTCTGCAGCTCCCACCGTGCAAGCTCAAGCTAAACCCCAGACACATACCACTGGGAATAAACTGTGGGGTCGTTGGCTCTAAAAGAGCTCAGCCCTCTCTTCAGTGAGAAAAAGGAGGTCAAGGGGATTGGCTTGGATAGCAGAGCATCCCAGCCCCTGAATCTATGACACACACAAACCAAAGGGGACTGCAGACCCCTCCTGGAGGCACGTCACATCATGTAGACCCAGAACCCATCCATGCCACCACTCTCCTGTCCTTT